GGGATCTTTATTCCATTCCATACATCTATTTGTCTATGTTTTATCATACCATCTTAATTATAATATCTTTTTTTTTTTTTTTAACCATGCCTCTGGGCATGCAGGATCTCAGTTCCCCAACCAGAGATCAAACCTGTGTCCCCTGATTTGGGAACTTGGAGTCTTAACCACTGGACCACCAAGGAAGTCCCTTTAATTATCATATCTTTATAGCATGGTCCTTTTTTTAAATTTTATTTTTAATTGGAGGACAATTGCTTTACAATGTTGTGTTGGTTTCTGCTATACAACAGCATGAATCAGCCATGAGTATACATATATCCCTTCCTTCCTGAACCTCCTTCCACCCCAGCCCCCAGCCCAGCCCTGCAGGTTGTCACAGAGCACCGGGCTGAGCTCCCTGTGTTGTATAGCAGCTTCCCACTAGCTGTCTATTTTACATATGGTAAGGTGTGTGTTTCAGTATGGCAGGGTTCTTTACCTTCTTTGAGCTATAAACCTTTTTGGCAGTCTGGTAAAACCTATGGGCCCCTTCTCAGTGTAATGTTTTTAATTCATAGAGTAGAACACAGGATTGAAAAGCATGTAGGATTACAAAAGAAATGAAGTATATTGAAATGTAATTATCAAGTGTTAAAAAACAAGTTTGCAATCTAATGTATGTGTGCTTCTTTATTAGTACATAGATAAGATTTAGTGTGGATTTAATAAGTACTGTAATGTCAAGGTAGTGATGAGCAGTAACAATATTTTGAGGTGTTTCCAACAAAAGTATCTAATATCCATTTGTGACGAAGCCACAGGTATTGCTAACATTTCTGTGGTTTGTTGCTCATGTTCATAATTGAGAAAGACTAAATTTCAGTTAGCTGTAGTTTTTTCCCATCTAGGTTCATGGACCCCTAAATTCTCTTTGCAACCTCCTGGCTAAGAACCTCTGCTTTAGAGGATGGCACTATTTAATAGACAGTGTGGTCTATTCTTAACCCTTTGTATTTTCATGTAAAAGTATTTGTTGGCGGTTTTGATTGGAATTACTTTGAGTATATAGATTAATTTGAAAAAATTACATCTTTACAATATTGTGTCTTCTAATCATTTCATTAAGTATTGTATGTAGATCTTTAATTTTTTCAGTATTTTTTGCAGTTTTCTGCAAAAAGTTCTAAATACCATTTGTTAGATTTATTCCTAGGTACTTGACATTTTAATGCTGTTATAAATTGTGATTTTACATTTCCTTTGTTGCTGATGCATAGAAATACAATTGATTTTAAATCCAGTAAACTAACTACATTTATATACATACAAAGTCATCTCATTTGTGAATAATGAGTTTTGTTTCTCCTTTTTCGAGCTATATGTCCTATATTCTTTACTGCCTTACTGCACTACTTAAGACCTCCAGTACATGGTTAAATAGAAGTGACAATAGTAGCAGCAGTCTTCATCCTTGACTTTTTCTTCATTCTAAAGAGAAAGCTTTTATACCTTTCACCATTAAATGTGATATTTGGTATAGGAATCTCGTAGTTATATTTTATCAGATTAAGGAAATTTTCTTCTATTCCTAATTTGCCAATTATTATTTTTATCATGGATGGATGTTGAACTTTATCAACAACTTCTTGTTGAGATGATCATATGATTTTTTTCTGTCAATGTGGTAAATTGCATTGATGAAATTTTCTAATGCTGAACCATCCTTAGCCCAATGGTTTTCAACTTGATTGATCATCAGAATCACACAAATTTTTTTTTAAAGTTTAAATTGTGGCAAATATTTTTAAAGTACATAAATATAGAAAAAGTGAAGAAACTGTTATAACACCTATGTTCATATTTTTTCTTTTTGTTTTGTATTTTATTAAGGAAATAAAACAAGGGAATTCCCTGGCAGTCCAGTGGTTAAGTCTCACAGCTAAAAAAAAAAAAGGAAAAAAAATAGATAAAATCGATGTGCCCTTTCTTCTTATTTCCAGTTGCATTTCCTTCTCTTCTGTGGGAAGCTTCCCCCATCCTAGTGATTTGCATATTTATTTTTTAAGCTTAATTACTTTAATAAAATAGGTAGTACAAGATTGAAAAGTAACCAAAGTTAAACCCTTCCATTTCTGCTTCCTGCTCCCCATTTCTCCTCCCACAGGCAACCACCAACCCTAGTTTGTGTGTCTTTTTGTAGAATCTAACATATGTACAAATGTATATGTGTTCTTATTTTCCCTCCCATAACCAGTAGTGGTTCTCCAGGCTGTCCTCTGCTCAACTGCACCCATTTAACAGGACATAGTGGAGGTTGTTTCAGTTCATCACAAATACTTCAAGCCTGGATAGTGTTCTATTATATTGATGTGTGACATTTTCTATAGTAGGTTTCCTATTGATGGATATATATGAAGGATGTTTCTCTTCTTTTGCTATTACAAGCAATATTACAATAAATAATCTTATATATGATTTTTGTGAACATATAAAGTGGAATTGTGAGTATATTTGATAGCTGGTATCAGATAGTCTCCAAAAGTATTTAATAATTTTTATTCCTACTAAAAATGTTCAAAACTGCCAGTTTCCCCTACGCTCTTGCCAATATAGCATTTTCAACTGTTTTGATCTTTATCTTTCTAAAGATTAAAAAAATATGTCATTATAGTTCGTTTTTTTTCTTTTTGTCATTATAGCTCTATTTCACATTTATTGAGTGAAACTGAGCATCTCTATGTTTTTAAAGGCCATTTGTATTTTCTGTGTGTGATCTTGTGTTTATCTTTTGCCCATTTTTCTATAGGATTATGAATTTCTTATTGATTTAGAAGAGCTTTATTCACATAAGGAAAGTAATTCTCTCTTTACCTGTGATGTTTATTGGAAATATATTTTCTCAGAGTGTTGCTTTTCTTATGATTTTGTTTTTCATGCTACTGAATTTATCTATTTTTCTGCATTGGCAGGCAGGTTCATTCTTTACCACCAGTACCACCTGGGAAGCCACTATCTATTTTTCTGAAGTCTTTTCTTCAAATCTTTTATTTCAAAATTTCTAGTTTCGTGTCATACTGCAAAAGGCCTTCTCCACTCTAGGATTTTCAAAAAACATTTTCTACTTTTTCTTCTAGTAGTCTAATTTTTTAAAAATAATGTAGTTATTTTGATTCATCTGGAATTTATTTTTATGTAAGAAATGGGGTAAGGATCCAATTTATTTTTTCCCTGAGCTGCCTCATCAGTTGCCTTTCTTTTTTTTTAAGCAATTTTTTTTTTGCCTTTCTTAAGTGAGTTTTTATTTTTAAAATTAATTTTTATTTTATATTTAAAATTAATTTTATTACATTTTATTGTTATTTAAAATTAATTTACAATGCTGTGTTAGTTTCTGCTGTATAGCAAGATGAATCATTATACATATACATATATTCACTCTTTTTCAGATTCTATTCCCTATAGATCATTACAGTGTATTGAATAGAGTGCCCTGTGCTATGCAGTAGGTTTGTTTTTTCTTTTTCTCTTTTTTTCTGGCTGCACCGCACTGCATGGGGGATCTTAGTTCCCTGACCGGGGATCAAATCCGAGTCTACTGCATTGAAGTTTGGGGTCTTAACCAGTGGACTGCCAGGGAGGTCCCCTCAATGGTCTTTCAAGATTTATTTAACTTTGCTAGTGAGAACTGTGAGTGGTCAGAGACCTCAGATAAGTAACAGTAACAGCTAATATCTCTTGAGTGCTTAGTATATGACAAGTACTGCACTATGTCCATTTGGCACATTATCTCACTCTGCACCATAGTTCCACTACATCTATTAGCCCTATTTCACAGATGAGGAAATTAAGGCTCAAGATTAAGTAATTTGTCCAAGATTACACCGCCAGGAAATGGTAGAGCCACAATTTGGACTCAGGCAGGCCAAATTTCGAGGTCCATGCTCCTTATCCCTTCCTCCCCAAAAGAGAAGTTACCTGTCCCCACCAGCTCCAGCCTGGGCATTCCCCACATTGGCTCTCATTCCTCAGAAGCTTCTCCTAATACAACGTCTTGTTTGGGAAATAGGTGTTCCTGCAGGAGGGATGATTCAGGAGGAGCAAAGGGATGGAACGCTGAGTGAGCTCAGCCAACAGGGGAACAGGGTAGAGGCCTGGGCGGGGCGGGGGTGCTGGGAGACCTCCACCTGCGTCCGTCTTGCTGACAAGGCCTTTCCTCCCCCTGCACTGGATGCAGCCTCCCCTGTTTGTCTCCATCTGATTTCCTGTTTCCTCTTCTGGCTTTGGCGCACCTGGCTCCCCTGACTACCTCTTCCTAAGCTCCTACCTGTTCTCTGTCCCACCTCAGCTTGGTAAGAGGAACAAGGGTCCCGGGGTCTGGGCAAGGGGAAACACCTCCTGGATCTGGTGCACAGGCCCTGTGGGGGTGGGTCCCACAGCCCTCCTTCCCCATGGACTAGAAGGTTTAAGAATGCCCCTGAAAACGTAAAAGGTAAATTGATTTTGGGTTCTCAGTCAGAGGTGCCAGCATTCCCTTAGTGGGTCATTTTGAAATGGGGGCTGCTTTTTAAAAACATTAATAGAACTGCAATATTAATACATGGAGAAAAGGGCACAGATTGATTTTCACAAGGTAAATATACCCGTGTAGCTGGTACCAGCTCAAGAAATAGAACACCACTAGTGTCCCAGAAGCCCTTTTCAAGCCTCTTCCCGTCCCAAGCCTGGAGTGGGAGGGGTGGGGAGCATTGTTTTGGTTGTCACCAGGACTTAGGGGTTCTGTTGGCCTTTAGTGGCAGGGTCTAGGGATGCCAGATGTCCTGCAGTACATGGGACAGTCCTGCACAAAGAATGGTCCCACCCAAATGCCCGGCTGAGAAACGCTGTGCCTGACGGTGCTGAGCAGTCGTGGCCTGCAGCGTGGCCAAGAGAGATGCCTTAGGCCCAGGGAACAGGCCTGTGGGTCAGAGTGAGGAGGGGTCTTCACTGCAATGTATCCACACTGTGGCTACACCCCCCAGGCCTCCGGAACGCCCCCCGCTGCTGGGCAGTGATCCAGCCCCTACTGTGTGCTGTGTACATGCCTAAGTGTGAGAATGACCGGGTGGAGCTGCCCAGCCGTACCCTCTGCCAGGCCACCCGCGGCCCCTGTGCCATCGTGGAGAGGGAGCGGGGCTGGCCTGACTTCCTGCGCTGCACCCCCGACCACTTCCCCGAGGGCTGCCCGGTGAGTGCTCTGCGGGGCCGGGGCTGAGCTGGTCACGGGGACAGGGCCCAGCAGGGGCAGGGAAGCTCAGACAGAGCCTTCTGTGCTGAAAGATTCCAAGTCATGGGCTCAGCAAGCCACAGACCCAAACCAAAGCTGGGCCAGTCCATCAGGGATTATCTATCTAGCTATAAACTATTTTTGAGCACCCACTCTGTTACGTGATGGGGGGTTACAGGAGTCATGAGTGACGAACCTGTTCTCAGAAAGGTTATCCTTTATTTAGGGAGTCAAGGCTTGCACATGTAAAACTTGGCTGGAGACACCAAGACAGGGATGGGATCTAATTCTGGGTGAAGGAGAGCACATTAATAATAATAATAGTAATCATTATTTTTGGAGAAAGAAATGGCAAACCACTCCAGTATTCTTGCCTGGAAAATCCCATGGACAGAGGAGCCTGGCAGGCTACAGTCCACAGGATTGCAAGAGTCCGACACGACTTATCGACTAAACCATCACCACCACCAGTCATTATTTAGTACTGTCCAAATACATTTTAAACATCTTACATTTATTTATTCATTTACTTAACCCTTAGATCACACCATGAAGTAAGTATTGCTGTCCTATAGATCAGGAAACTGAGCTAATAGGGAGGTCACATAACGCCCTAGGCCATGTGGTCACTGAGCGGCAAGGCTGGATTCAGATGCTGGAAGGCTGTCTACAGTGCCTGCACTTTCAGCCTCTCGGCCGTGCTAACCCTGCACCTCTTATTAAACCAAAGGTCACCCCAAGCCTACTGCTCTCCATTGTATTGTCTTCTCCTCTTCTCTCTGAGCCAGAATGAGGTGCAGAACATCAAGTTCAACAGTTCCGGCCAATGTGAGGCTCCCTTGGTTCGGACTGACAACCCCAAGAGCTGGTATGAGGACGTGGAGGGCTGTGGGATCCAGTGTCAGAACCCGCTCTTCACCGAGGCTGAGCACCAGGACATGCACAGCTACATCGCGGCCTTCGGGGCTGTCACGGGCCTCTGCACACTCTTCACCCTGGTCAGCGAAGGGCAGACCTGGGGTGGAGGGTATGGGGAGAGGCGGGGGCCCGGGACCCTCAGGCTGCCTGTAAAGTAGGGAGGGAGCCAACTGTCCGTGAGAGGCTGGGCTCTGGGAGTCGAGGGGAGGAGGACTTACAGGGGTCTTCAGGGAAGGGTGGTGATTAGCAGGGTTGGGAGTTCTGATAAGAGTGGCAGAACAGCCCTAACCTCACGGAACGGGCCTTTCTTCTCTCTTCTAGGCCACATTTGTGGCTGACTGGCGGAACTCCAATCGCTACCCTGCCGTCATCCTCTTCTACGTCAATGCGTGTTTCTTCGTGGGCAGCATTGGCTGGCTGGCCCAGTTCATGGATGGGGCCCGCCGGGAGATCGTCTGCCGTGCTGATGGCACCATGAGGCTCGGGGAGCCCACGTAGGTGTCCTGGGGTTCCCAGAGGCGAGGGCGAGGGAAAAAGGCTGATGCCCATTTTCCACAAAAGGGGCAGGTTGGACTGGAAATGGAGCTTTCAGTGTGGGATTCAGCTCTGCCTTGTTGCACCCAAGGTCTCCAGCACTAGAGCCTGGACCCTTCACATCTTCTATATCCTCTTCACTTCTGACCCAAGCCTGGTCTCCAAGCCCTGACTCCTAGAAGAACTTCCAGACCTTAGAAGCCAGGAGTCTTGGGGCCACAAGGCCAGAGAGGGGGAGACTTGCTAGATGGAATATAGAATGAGCGCCCCAAGTGACACCCCACTTGTCTGCGCAGCTCCAATGAGACCCTGTCCTGCGTCATCATCTTTGTCATCGTGTACTACGCCCTGATGGCCGGCGTCGTCTGGTTTGTGGTCCTCACCTATGCCTGGCACACCTCCTTCAAAGCCCTGGGGACCACCTACCAGCCTCTCTCGGGCAAGACCTCCTACTTCCACCTGCTCACGTGGTCACTCCCCTTTGTCCTCACTGTGGCAATCCTCGCCGTGGCCCAGGTCTAGTGACTGGTACGGGGTGGGGACCCGTGTGGGGCAGACTTGGGTGAGGGAGAAAGTGACCAACTCTGTCCCCCTACCCCTTCCTCCTGCAGGTGGATGGGGACTCTGTGAGCGGCATCTGTTTTGTGGGCTATAAGAACTACCGATACCGTGCTGGCTTCGTGCTGGCCCCCATCGGCCTGGTGCTCATTGTGGGCGGTTACTTCCTCATCCGAGGTGAGTGAGGACCTGGCTGAGCACCTGCTCTGTGTAAGCAGGAGCCAGGAGCTGCCAGCTCTGCTGCCTTTGAGGCAGGACCTCAGCTGGCTCACTGGGGCCTTGGGGTAAAGGGGAAGGACAGACATAGCACCACGTCACTTGGTGTGGGGCAGTGTCTTTGTTCAGCCAGAAAAATGCTGCCCTTAATCCGGCCTTGTGTGAGGGCTCACGGCTTGCTGAGTGGAGCTTGGGCTGGGTCCCTACCCCTGCTCAGCTCTGGCCAGATGCCCTTGTGTGATAAACACCTTGAGTAACCTACTTCGTCCACGTGGGCTAGCTGGGGGCCTTCGATCATGTTTGTGCATTTATATACACGCTCAGTCTCTGGAGCTTGGTTTCTCAGCTCCTTTCTGCCCACAGTGCACACACATGCAGAGTTTTCACAACATACACAGATTCTGTTTCCTTGTTTCCCTGTTTCAATCTGCCGCCTCCACAATGAGCCTCCGTGTCTGAGCTCATTTTTGTTGAGCGTTCTCTGTAAACTTCAGTTTCCTCCCGCAGCTCCTGTTCAGCCCACCTTGTTTCCCTCTCCTTGGCAGTGGCTGGGCCTCTGATGTGTGTTTTGTATCTGTGTGATCCTGTGCGGTAGCCACCAGTCACGTGTGTTGAAACTAGTCCAGGTTGAGACGTGTCATAGCATAAAATACAAACTGCACTTCAAAGACTCATGCACACACAGAAGTAAACAAGTCTCATTAACAGCTTGTTATATGGATTACACGTTGAAATGATAATGTTGTAGACAATGACTTACTGTTTTTTTTTTTTTTTATTTATTGTTTTTAAGGTGTATTGAAGTTAGTTTCATTTGTGTCCTTTTACTTTTTGAAGGTGGCTTCTAGAAAATTTGAGGTTATGAGTTGTTCAATTGCACAGTCATAGCTGACTCTTTGTGACTCCCATGGACTGCAGCATGCCAGGCTTCCCTGTACTTCACTATCTCCCAGAGTTTGCTCAGACCCGTGTCCATTGAGTTGATGATGCCATCCAGCCATCTCTGGAAAACTTGACATTATGAGTGTGGCTCACATTATATTTCCCTTGGACAGCACTGTCTTAGGGTCTCTTTTTTGGCCTTTTCCATCATAGTAGCTTTGACCTGCTGCTTTCTTGGGGAGGCTGGATCAGGACCGAGGCATCTTTGATCTCCACTGTCGGTCTGCCCTGCTGCAGTCTTTCCAGTCCATAGCATGTGTGCCACCAGCTGCACTCCAGTGTCTCCAGTTCCTTCAGCTTTAAATCAGCACGTCATCAGACCTGGGACTGCAGGACCACAGGACCCTCCTAGGATGCCACACACCCACCCCTCACAGATGGGAGGCCCCCACTAATGTCTGCCATTTCCCTCATGTTCAGGAGTCATGACCCTGTTCTCCATCAAGAGCAACCACCCTGGGCTGCTGAGCGAGAAGGCAGCCAGCAAGATCAACGAGACCATGCTGCGTCTGGGTGAGTGGGTCAGTCTGTCACCACGCCCACTGGGGAAGGGTATTGGAGGCTGAAGTTAGCAGTTAGCAGCCAGGGGGCAAGACTAGGCTGTTAGGCTGTGTGTATGTGTGTATTGGCGGTGATGCTGATGGTAGCAGCTCAAAAGGGAAGATACCTTCCTTCTCAGTTGGAAGAATTCAAATTCATGCCAACATTTGAGACCTATTTAGAGCCCTTAAGTGCCTCTTAATTCATCTTATTTTGGAGGAAACAATTCTTTTGTATGTTTTATTGAAGTGTACTTGAATCACAATGTTAATTTCTAGTGTATAGAAAAGTGACTCATATATATATATCATATGTATATCTATAAATATTTTTTCATATTCTTTTCATTATGGTTTATCACAGGATATTGAATATAGTTCCCCACGCTATACAGTAGGACCTTGTTTATCTATTTTATATAGAGTAGTTTCTCTCTGCTAATCCCAAACTCCTAATTTATCCCTGCCCTACTTCCCCCACCTTGGTAACCATAAGTCTGTAGAGAAAACAGTTCTTAAACTGAGCCCAGCACAAAGTCACCCCAGAGTCTTTCAGGCCCATGTGGGGTGAACACCCTCCTCCCCACCGCTGCTCCCACACCTGGGATGGGTGACGCCCTGCCCCACCCCGGACCCTCCACAGGCATTTTTGGCTTCCTGGCCTTTGGCTTTGTGCTCATCACCTTCAGCTGCCACTTCTATGACTTCTTCAACCAGGCCGAGTGGGAGCGCAGCTTCCGGGACTACGTGCTGTGAGTGGGGGACTGGGGGCTGGAGGGCTGCAGTGGTGGGCGCTGGAGACCCCTCTCTGCGGTCCAGCAGGGGTCTGTTAGGTCCCAACCTCAGAGGGCAAAAGAAACTGCCCGTCTTGCTCTGGGTGCTCACACTGTTAGTTGCTCTGTAATTTGCAGACGTGGCCAACAGCCCTGGGGTCCCTGCCCAGCTCCGCCCTCCCTCCCATCCCCAAGGCTGCCTGGCTTGAAATCAAATCAAATGCATCCCCAAGGTGCGTTTGTAACTGTTAAGCCGTTGTGTGTTTTGGCTTCTCCCTACCTCTTGCGTTGGCCACAGATCTCGCTCTCTACTTCTCGTGGACTCTTTACAGAGCTTATTGCAAATCCCTGCACAGAAATAGTTCTCTCTCTACAACAGGTTAACAACCCATTAATGTGTTCTGGGCTTGCCTGTGCTTTTTTGTGTCACATGATGATAAATCTGCGAGGGTAAGGAACCTCAGCTACTTCATGAAGTGCAGTCCATATTGATACCAGGGATAGGAGCTAAAATGCTCATTAAAATCCTGAGTGCTTCTTGGGACTTCCATGGTGGTCCAGTGGCTAAGACTCCATGCCTCCAATGAAGGGGCCTGGGTTTGATCCTTAGTCAGGGAACTAGATCCCACATGCTGCAACTAAGACCCTTCGAAGTCAAATAAATAAATATATTTTAAAAATCCTGAGTGCTTCAGACTCTTCCTTAAAGTCTCCAGCTTCCAGTGTGCAGGAAGACCTGATGCCTGGGTCCCTCCCTCAGAAATTTGATTTCATTGTCTGGGGTGTGGCCCAAACATCACGAGTCATTATAAGCTCCTAGGTGACTCTGATGATCATCCTAGGTGATCCATGATTGATGTGGGCTTCACTCTTTCTAGTGTTGGGACTGATTGTCTGGGCAACCACCAGCGAGACTGAGAAAGCTTCACCTGTCTACTACTTCTCGCCACAGGTGCCAGGCCAATGTGACCATCGGGCTGCCCACCAAGAAGCCCATCCCTGACTGTGAGATCAAGAACCGCCCCAGTCTCCTGGTGGAGAAGATCAACCTATTTGCCATGTTTGGAACTGGCATTTCCATGAGCACCTGGGTCTGGACCAAGGCCACGCTGCTCATCTGGAGGCGCACCTGGTGCAGGTGGGGTCAGCAGCAGCCCGTCCTGACCTGGCTGCCTTGTTCTCTCAGCCTCAGCATCCTGTAGGCTCAGTCAGGTCTCACAAGTCCCAGCGCAGCCTTGAGCAGGTGTGATTTCTAACTGCCGAGCAGCCGAAAGCAGCCTTTCCTGTGGCCCACCACTGCCCCCTGGTGACACCTCGTGTCCTTGCAAGGATGGGCCAAGGGCTGTGCCAGCGTGTCTTCTAAGAGAGGAGTGATTCAAGAGCTGGGCACAGGATCCCTGCATTCTAGGCTCCCCTTTTTGGCAGAGAAGGCCTCTACTCTTCAGGGCCCTTGAGGCCCTCTGGAGGCTCCTTTCCTGGAGGGAATGGATTTGCTGGTCTTTTGCAAGATTTGAGGGGCAGCAGCTGCTCCACCATGCCCCCTGCCCCCACTCTTTCTGCCCTCAGGTTGACGGGGCAGAGTGATGATGAACCCAAACGGATCAAGAAGAGCAAGATGATCGCCAAGGCCTTCTCCAAGCGGCGGGAGCTGCTGCAGAACCCAGGCCAGGAGCTCTCCTTCAGCATGCACACCGTCTCCCACGACGGGCCTGTGGGTGAGCTTCCACTCTTCTCTGGAGCCTGTTCCCAGTTCCCTTCTAAGCTGGTGTGGCTTCATGGTCTGTTTGCAAAGCTGTGAGGAAATGGCGCTCCTCCTGTTCACATACTCCTTCTCCAATCCCCTCTATCCCAGGCTACTCTCCCCTCTCTGTTTCTGCCCCTGGGTCTGCTTGCTGGTGGTTTGGTTCCAGCGGACTCATCTCCCTCACCTTCAACCGTCTTCTCCAGCTGTTCTCCCTGGGCTACAAGAAGTCAGGTTTCAGGCACTGGGTTTCTGGCGTCTCATCAGGCCCCCGTGCTCTTCAGACTGGGGATGGGTAGAGATCTGGCTGCACTCACCAGGGTGGGATTTCTGTGCTAAGTTGAGTGGGTGCTAAGGGCTGGGGGAAGGTGAATGGTACCGAATACGGAAGGAGCAGTCACAGTGAGGTCCTGGGCAGTCATGGTACCTCATCCTTTCCTTCCATCCCCACAGCGGGCTTGGCCTTTGACCTCAATGAGCCCTCAGCCGACGTGTCCTCTGCCTGGGCCCAGCATGTCACCAAGATGGTGGCCCGGAGAGGCGCCATACTGCCCCAGGATGTGTCTGTCACCCCGGTGGCAACGCCAGGTATGGGTGTCCGCTCCTATAGGAAGGTGGGGGACGTTGAGGCTGGAAGAAGGTCCTGGGAGTGGAGTGCCAGGAGCTGCCGGCAGGGGACGGGGAGAGGAAGCCCTTCGAGAACTACAGCATGGGTCCCGGGCTCCAAGAGTAGGGGCCCAGGGAGAGAAGTTGCCACGCTCACAGAGCTTAGAGTCCCCAGCTCCCGTTCTCTCTCCCACCGTCAGTGCCCCCGGAGGAAAAAGCCAACCTGTGGCTGGTTGAGGCAGAGATCTCCCCGGAGCTGGAGAAGCGCCTGGGCCGGAAGAAGAAGCGGAGGAAGAGGAAGAAGGAGGTGTGCCCACTGGTGCCACCCCCGGAGCTTCATCTCCCTGCCCTGGGCCCTGCCCCCGCCTCCAGTGCGGTCCCTCGGCTGCCACAGCTGCCCCGACAGAAGTGCCTGGTGGCCGCGGGCGCCTGGGGCCCTGGGGAGCCCTGCCGACCTGGAGCCTGGACCCTGGTCTCCAACCCCTTCTGCCCAGAGCCCAGCGCCCCAGCCCCTATGGCCTGGGCGCAGGGCCGCCGGCAGGGTCTGGGGCCCATTCACTCCCGCACCAACCTGATGGAGGCAGAACTCATGGATGCAGACTCAGATTTCTGAGCCTGGAAAGTAGGACCTGCGACAAGAAGGAGGAACAAATACCATTCCGAGGCTCTTCTTCCTCCCCGAGAGTGCTTCTCTCCAGGCTCTCGTCTTCCCGAGCACCTGAAGGCCCAGTGCCTTCCTGGGAGAGTTCAGTGTGGACGACTCACAGCACCAGGACTGCGGGAAGGAGCCCTGACATCTCCACGGATAGGCCTCACTGGGGCAGGGCCCTGGAGCTTAGGGTCCTTGATTCTGCCCCATCTGGCTGGCAGCATCAGTCTCCAGTGGGGTCATGTGTATGCAGAGCCCCTAGTGTGGTGGTAAAGGTGCAGGCACAGCTGCATGGGCTCGCATGCATACCTGCATGGGCTGTGGTGGCCAGCCCCTGTCTGGCAGATGAGGGCTGGCTGCCCTTGTGTGTGCCAATGGGTGCCCTTCCCTGGCACTTTCAGACCAAAAGTGTTCATTGGCTCATTATCCCTTTGTCCACCTGAGGACAGAGCTCCTTTCTCCCCTTTCCAGTTGGTTGTGGGGCTGGGAGTTCTTACTCCCATAGGGGCTGTAACCTCTCTTAAAAGTGTCCAGCTGGCTCCACCATAGGCCAGTAACCCACCCTGGGTGTTGTGGTACCATCCTTTCCCCTTTCCCATTTCGGTTCAACCAGGCCAGCCTCTTCCTATTTCCTGTTTGTTAATTAGAACCCAGAGTTGCAGCATTTTCCACCCTGCCCCCATGCCCTATCCCTCTGCCGTTGGGCTCCATCTCCAGGTGAGAGGTTGGTTCAGCCATAGAGCCTGGCGTGGTGGAGAAGCTGTGAGTGATGGGAAGCCTCTGGGCCTCAGAGAGATGCATGCTATCTCTCGGGGGATGGATCCTCTGACTGAGGAGCTACCCTTGGGAAGCTGCTGACACTTCAGCCAGGCAGGAACACTTCCTTCAACTTCCACAGTCGGTGGGTGAAGAGGTTCCCACCTCTCATAACCCCTATCCAAGGCCCCAGTGTCAAGAACCAGATTGCAGGGAGCTTTAGCAGTTGTCTGGGTTCCAGATCAGGGGGTAGGGATAAGGAGACAAAATATAAACAGTAAATAAAAGGTTTTTGTATAATCTATTGATGTGCTTCTTTCCATAGGCCCCGTCTTGACCCACTTACCTGGTCATGATCTCATTTGTCCTTCACTTCCTCTGCAAGCTATTCTGCAAGGCCAAGAGCTCGGTTCTAATGAGGTCACCACTGACAGATGTCAGGCCGATGTCAGCTTAATGTGCTGGCTGTCCTTCCTGGCCAGTTGGTTCTATATATGGACAAAGGCTCTGGCCACAGCTGCCTCACTGCACATTGATCATGAGATGAATGAGCAAGGACATGCAGCTTGTCCCTGCAGTGATGACACTTGCAGGAAGCAAGTGTCCCCTGCTGGGGAGTGTAGGTGGGCATGGATGCTCATGGCAATCCCAGGCCCCCTCTGAGAACCTCTTGCCTCTACAAAGGATGTCTGTGGGACCAGGTGCATTCGCATCCACAGCTTCCACCCCTTGGAATGTCAGAGAAATTCAGGCTTCTCTGAGGGAAGCCTGCTAGTCCCACTTCCTCCAGAAAGATGTCAGTAGAAAGCTGGGAACTGGACTCACGGTCCTGTGGAAAGAAGAGGGAGTAAAGGAAGGGGTGGTACCCACGGACGACTCAGAGGGTATTGTGCAGTATTAAGTGTGCCTGTTTATGGGTGTCACTCAAATGATGGGGACACAAGCAATTTGCCCAGAGCCAAATTCCAAAGGAAGAGGAAAGGGAACTAACACTGATTATCTACTATGTACTTTACATGTGTATAAGGATGATGATGATGATGATGATAACAATAAGGGCTAATTCGTATTAAATGCTTGCTAGCTCTAAGCACTTCATATCTATTAACCTGTGGAACCTCACAACAGACCTCAGAGGCACTGTTAACACCCCCAAAACACTTAGGTACAGATAAGTTCAAAAGTTTGCCTGAGAGAAAGTGATAATGCTGGGATTCCATCAGAGCTGCCTGGCTCGAGTCACCTGGCTCTTGGCCTCTGCACTCTGTATGTCGTGCTTGTGCTTAGTCATGCAGTCGTGTCTGACTCTTTGCGACCCCATGGACTGTACCGAGCCAGACTCCTCTGTCCATGGGATTGTCCAGGCAAGAAAACTGGAGTGGGTTGCCATGCCTTCCTCCAGGGGATCTTCCCAACCCAGGGATCGAACCCAGAGCTCTCACATTGCAAGCGGATTCTTTACCGTCTGAGCCACCAGGGAAGCCCCTGTCCTCTGCTGCCTCTCTAATTCAGGAGGGGCAGAGGAACTAGTTTTCTGTAGCAAAAAGCTTCAGAGAAGCAAAATGACTTGCCCACAACCTCATAGCTAGTAAGTAACAGACAGTGGGCCCAGGGCCTTCCTGACTCTGCAGTCCAGGCTCTTTCTGCTCTTAGGTCTGACTTTTGGTTTTCCTCCTATCCAGGTTGCCCATGCTGTGTTCCCTCTGACCTCCCCACATCCCCTTGTGCTTGCCCACCTTGCCCATTCTTGCCATCACTGTTCTTCTCAACAGTAGTAGAGCTAATTTCTTTCTTCTTTTTTTAAATTGAAGTATAGTTGATTTACAATGTTGTGTTAGTTTCAGATGTACAGCAAAATGATTCAATTACATATATATGTATGTTTTCAGATTCCTTTTCATTATAGATTATTATAAGATATTGAATATAGTTCCCTGTGCTACACAGTAGGACCTTGTTGTTTATATTTAATAGTGGATTTTTTTAAATAGTGGATTTTATATATAATCCCAAACTACTAATTTATCCTTCCCTGCCTTTCCCCTTTGGTAATCATAAATTTGCTTGTCTGTGAGTCTATTTCTATTTTGTAAGTAAGTTCATTTGTATCTTTTTTTTTTAATTCCATGAATGATATCATATGATATTTGTCTTTCTCTGACTTACTTAGTATGAGAATCTCTAAGTCTATCCAATAGCTTCAAATGGCATTGTTTCATTCTTTTTTATGGCTGAGTTTTATATATATATATATATATGTATATATATATACACACACACACCCCATCCTTTTTATCCATTCATCTGTTGATGGACATTTAGGTTGCTTCCATGTCTGGCTACTGTAAATAGACCTGCTATGAACAGTGGGGTGCACGTATCTTTTCAAATTAGTTTTCATCGTTTACAGATATATGCCCAGGAATGGGATTGCTGGATTGTATGTTATTTTTAGTTTTTTAAGGAACCTCCATACTGTTTTCCATAGTGACTACACCACCTCACATTCCCACCAACTATATAGAAGGGTTCCCTTTTCTTCACATTCTCCAGCATCTATTATTTGTAGGCTTGTTTTTTGGCCACACCCATGGCTTGCAGGCTCTTAGTTCCCCTATCAGGGATCCAACTTGGGCTCCGGCAGTGAAAACGCCAAGTCCTAACCACTTATTTGCCAGGGAATTCCCTATTTGTAGGGTTTTTGTGTTTGTGTGTGTGTGTGTGAGATGACTGGTGTGAGGTGATACTTCATTGTAGTTTTTATTTTCATTTTTCTAATAATTAGCAGTGTTGAGCATCTTGTGTCTGTTGGCCATCTGTATGTCTTCAGTAGTAGAGCTATTTTTAAACCTTATCCATAGCAGTATTCAAAACAATAAAAATGATCAGTGTTGTCTAATGATCTTTTTTTGAAACAAGGGGAAATGTTAAATGATTTTCTTTCTGTCTCCATGTACATCCCCCTCCATCTCTTCTTTCTTTAGTTGTATTATAACGGTTTGTTGGAGGAGTTTATTCTGGGTTTTAAAAAGCTGAGAAGTGTTACCGGTCTGTGGAGGCTGATAGACTCTGTGACCACTAGAGGACACCATGAGCCTACCTTTTATGAACACTGGCCAGGCAGCTGTTGGAAATCTGAAATTTTATGGACACTCTCACAGACCAATTGTTACTTTTATAGGAGTGCCAAATCTTGTGACTGAGCAACAGTGGCCACTTTCTTACCAAAACTCTTGAGTTAGACTCCTGAAAGAAACTCCTCAGGGTCCAAGAGGAACTTGGGGGATTCCCTGTGGCTGTCCTGTTGTCCTGATGTCAACACCTCAAGCTGGCTCCGCCCTCAGCAGCTCTATTGGGCCCCCCTTACCTCTCTCATACTCAGTCATCCATCTTCCCAGGTTGTAAGACCTGCCTCTGTTGGCTCCAGATTCTTGTAAGCAGTATGTCCACTGCTCCAATCCTTCCTCCGCCTGTGTGTGTCTTTTTTTTTTTTTTAATTTGAGAAATTGAGAAATTGAGAAGATACAGAAAAACACAAGGAACAACCTAATTAACCACCCATATTCCCACTACTCAGAAATAAATTTTTAAATGTAAAAAAAAAAAACTTTAAAAAATGTACCATATTTTCTTCCAACCTACATTTATGAAGAAATAAAGTAAAACAAATTTAGCTAAGTCCACTTTGACCAACATCCCTATTCCATTTTTCCTCCCACTTTCCCCTTCCTCAACCAAAAAACAACTGTCTGAATTTAGTGGGTTTTCTTTCAGTCCATTTTTATATTTTCACATGTGCAAATGAAGCTATGCATCCATAAACTATGTATTGCTTTTGACAGCTTTTTAATTTTTTAATTATATTTTTTATTGAAGTATAGTTGATTTACAGTATTATATTGATTTCCGGTGTCCAGCACTACTGGAGTGGGTTGACATTTCCTTCTCCAGGGGGACTTCCTGACCCAGGGATAGAACCTGGGTCTCCTGTATTGCAGGTGGATTCTTTACCAACTGAGCCACCAAGGAAACCCCACAATGATTCGTATTTGTATAGATTATACTCCATTTAAAGTTATTACAAAATAATGTCTATAATTCCCTGTTCTGTACAATAGAGTTTTGCCTGCTTTTAAAGTTTGAATTTCATCTCAGTTATATGCATGATATAGTTTGAAAAGTCAAATAGTTCTACATCTTTCCAATAT